AAATGAATCGTTTTGGAGATATTCCCGACGAATATATTGATAAATTGGTGGTTAGCAGCGAACCGACAAACACCGCAAAAAGTAAGAAGTACATTGGGAAACAATTTACATCTTTTTGTGCGGAAAAACATTATAACATGGACTGAGATACTCCAATTTCGGAACTTGCATCTATTTTAAAAAGCTGGGCTTACAACATGCGTAAACAAAATGGACAAAAGGAATACAAAGAACGCACTGTTAAAACCATCTGGTCCATTGATGAAGAAATGAAATGACTCGTAAAATTATCGTAAAACAATCGTGAAAAATTATCGGTAATTTCAAAGCACTCGTGGTATTACCCCCGATAATTTTCACAGCAAATGCCTGAAGGTTTCTAGTATTTTAAGTGAAATTAAAAAATTAAAAATAATATGATTTTTACGTGGATAGAATTGCTTAAACTTTGTTAAAATTGGAATAATCTAAAATTTTAAAAAAACTTGAAAAACCTTCAGAGCGGTGAGGGTGGCGAATTTTCCAAATAATTTTTTGGGAACTTTTACTCTCTGGCCGTTTTTCTTCAAGATAATTTTGATTGCGAAGCTGAAAATAGTTTTCTAAAGTTCCCTGAAAACCGATAAAAAAGGCGAATTTTGTAGCTCAATTAATCTTGTTTTTGAGAAAATGTTAAAGATTTTAGAGAAAAAAGAGAGAAATTTATTTTTGTTTTTGTCCGAATTCGACGTTGAAAGAAATGTTTGTAAAAATTTTACAAAACTGTAGATTTATCTTGCAATTTGTATCGTAAAAAACCTACAGATTATCAGTATTTTTAAGTAAAACTCTACAAAATACAGCGTTTTTGAGTAGGCAGTAAAGCAAAAAAACTCAGTTAAAACTAAAAACCTACATTTTTTTAACCAACTCTCGTTTTTTGATAAATATTATTTGATTGTTGTCCTAAATTCAAAGCTGGAAATCTTTAGAAAATTGCGCATTTAGAACAACCAGTCACTTTCTTCTCCAGGAGAGTACAAATTCTCTCCAGGAGAGTACAAAATCTGTCAAAATCGTAATAACACAAGACATTTTGGTCTTTTGAACGGTACTAAAAAACCCTTCCACATGCACCTATCGGTGTAACTAGAAATCACAATTTTGCAAGTAGCAGGCGAACACCGAAAAACTAAGAATTTTTAGCATTGGTACCTAAAGAAACCTTCCACATGCACCATTTTCGACATGACCCGAGGTGGAAGCTTTGCAAGCTGGAGACGAACATTTTGCACATTGCAAATTTATTAAGAACGATACTTTGCTCTTTTGAATGTTACCAAAAGATGCTTTCCACATGCCCCATTTTCGGTGTTACTAGAGGTCCAAGCATTGCAAGTAGAAGACTATGACTAAGAATTTTGCACATTTGTGAAAATTCCTACAGAAAACCACAAAAGCGACCCAGAACGCATTAGTACAAGATACTTTGATCTTTTGAGTGATACAAAATAAACCGTCCACATACATCGTTCTCCGTGTTACAAGAGGTCGAAGCTTGGCAAGTATAATACAAACACAGTGACACCAAGAATTTTGTACATTCGCACCAGAAGAGTACAAAAGCCATCAAGTGCGTAATAATAGACGACACTTTGCCCTTTGCAGTAGTCCCAAAAGAAACCTCCCACATGCACCATTCTCGGTTTCACTAGAAGTCGTAGTTTTGCAAGTAAACGGCGAACATCACGGCCCCAAACAATTTGCACATTTGCCGAAATTCGATCCAGAAGTGAGGTAGAAGTAGAATAGTAGAAGACGAATAGCATCACAGCAACAATTTTGCAAGTCTTCTAAAATTCGCTTCAGACGAGTATAAAATCCATCAAGAGCTTAATAGTAGAAGACACTTAGCTCTTATGAATCGTACTAAAAGATAACTTCTATAGGCACCAGTCTCGGCGTTACGAGAGGTTGAGGCTTTGCAAGTAGAAGACGAACACGGTTTCATAAAGAATTTTGTACATTTGCCGAAATTGCCTGCAGAGTACAAAACCCATAAGATCGTGAGAATAGAAGAAACTTTACCCTTTTGAATGGTATCAAAAGAAACCTTCCACACGCACCATTGTCGGTCTTCCTAGAGGTCGAAACTTGGCATGTGGAAGTCAAACAACTTGGCACCAAAAAGTCTGAATATTTGCCAAACTTCGCTCACTTCGCATCGATGGTGCAATATCAGAAGACACTCTACGCATTTAAATGGCACCAACAGAAACAAGAGACTTCCGCAATCTCGAAGGTACTAGATGTCGAACTTCGGCAAGTCGAAAACTAGAGTAGTAGTTAAAATATTAGACGAAGCTTATTTCAAACAAATTGATTCTACTAAGAATGCGAGGGTTTCAAAATTCAGCCCTTTATTTGCCTTCCTTTATTTATCTCCAATAACTTTTCAAATAGAATCATGCAATTTCTCAGTCATCCTGTAAATAATGCATTTCCATAGTTCGTTCTTAGTTCATTCGCAGTTAACCGAATTGGGCCCTTGATGTGATTTAAAATTGATATTTCCACCCAAGTGCAAGGCTTTTAAAAAGTAGGCGGCAATTTTCTTTTAATCGAGAAATCCAAGAAAATATCGCCAACGCAATTTTCCAAGATGTACTTGAAAATTGAAAAAGCTCGGACGGATAATGAAAGTAAATCTTGAAAATTGAACGATAATGATTAAACATTACCAGCAGCAAAAATGAAAATTTTTTTTGCGCTGCTTCAAGCGGAGAACGAGAATTGTAATTTAAAAATGCGGATTATTTTTACAATTCCAAATAAAAACCTTGGCTAAAATGTATTAAAATATACAACTCCCTACGGCCGGGCAGTTAAAAACCTTTCATAACTTTCCCATTGAGCTGACGAAAATAATTAAGAAAAGTTTGCGAGCACGGATTCTAATTGTTTTATGGCTTTGTTTAATGCGTGGGAAATGACTGTTTTAGTTTCACATAATGACTTTTATTGCGGCCCGAGGTAATTTCCAAAAATACCCGAGCTCTTAAAAATAACAAATTGCTCGTAAGGTTTGGCACCTGAATTATTCCCGGATAAATACCTCAGATGGGCAGCGGGCATTTCTGTAGAAAAATGTCGAAGAATCAATTATTCCCTGGGATTTTAGATGCAAATCTCCCAATTATGCTCTCATGAAACGCCTGTGGAAATTCGACAGGGATTTAAGTCCCGGAATTTTAAATAATTAATTTCATAATGCCCGAATCATGAATAATTCTCGTTCGTCAATAGTGGGATTTGGTAGTTTTGAGATTCCAGGTTGTTTTCGGCTGAGGCCGCATAAAACAGCGGCGAATTTGAACTTGGCTAGTTCAAGTGTTCATCTTTTTTCAAACCGAGAAAGTTCTCGCGATACAAACATATTTCGGTGTTTTTGCCCACTATTTGCCCTGGAAATTCCGAAACCACTTGATATAAGAGGCAAAAAATTGCGATAAAATCCAAACAAAAAATTTCCCAAGTTGGCTAACACAACACAATAGGAAAGTTAGTTGGAAAAATCCATGTGAGCTTCATAACTAATTTATTCCAAAGCTTTTGATTGATGCTGCGTTAAAGGGAAGACAATTGTTATTCGAGTACGGTGGAAAATCACAATAAGTGTACTAATTAATTTGCTTTAAAGGAGCAACGAAGTTGATCACATCGTTTGCACGACTAAACCACCCATTGAAAGCAAATAATATTTCCCGGTTCCAGTTTCCAATGGAAACATTTTATGTATAAAATTAATTTCTATTTCGAGTGTTCTGAGTCGGTAGAAATTGGGAAGTGCTTTGAGCTTTTGCTTTGCTTTTATGTGACTCTATGTATTCATCTAACCCCGACTAAAAAGCCCTCTGGAGAGCAGCTTGCGACTAGATACAACCACATTATTCCTCTATTGTAATTTATTTGTACGTCTCCCTCGAGAAGCATAATTTT